GTGAGCATTTCTGTTGAGGATTGGCAGCGGGGGTGGGGTGGGGGGTGTTTGGTTTTTATTCCCCCCGTCTGCTGGGTGGTTGCAGCAGGTTTTGGTCACTTCACATGACCCTGGGACACTGTGACCGTCATAAATATGAATCAGTTGCCAAGCATCTGAATGTAAATCACAAGACCCTGGAGATGCTGCAACATTCCAGTTGATCGGCGCTTCTTCTGGGCTCAGCAGAAGCACCAGGATCAGTGCCGAGCTCCAGCTGGAGCCTGGCACTGATCCTGGCACTTCCACTGAGCCCTGACAGTCCCGAAGAAGTGCTGATCCTGGCACTTGACAGCCCTGCAGCTCCAGCCATCTCTCGCTCAAGCTTGTGCGGTGCTGCCACCGGTTCAGCTCATTCCCCTCCCCTGCTACCACTTTTCTAGGATGGTCACGTACCACCTGCCAGGTGCCAATGTACCACAGGTGGTACCCGTACCACTGGTTGAAAAGCCCTGTTCTATGGCATATAGTCAGATTGTGCTGGTTGTTACCATAAGATAAAGTGATGGCAAACAACTTCAGTGACTTTTAATGGGACTCAAAAAATGAAGGTTAATGCTATCAGCAGCTGTTAGTCATGATAATTACTGTAATTACCCACATCAGGATAATATGACGCAAATACTAGTGGTTGTGCACAAATAGCAGAGAGATGCTGTGCTCATTCGCTGCCTGGATATACCTGGGAACAGAGTGATGGACTGCATTTCTGCTTTTTCTTTATTATGTTCTTAATAGAAAAGCATAAAATAAATAGTAAAAAGCAATATTAATATAACATCTTATTGAAGTAAGTAGAGTGATTCCGTGGAGGAAGAATTAAGGACTTCCTTAATGTTGTCAATTTACGCTGAGTAGGGCAGAAACAGAAGAGGTAAGAAAGTCCTTCTACATTCCCTTTTTTTAAAAAAAGCTTCCCTTCTAATGATACATGTAGAAGTTAAAATAACTGCTTCTGTTAGATGTAGTTGCTAGGTCAAGAGAAATACAGAGTTCTGGAATGCATGGGTTGAAAATCTCCACCATTTGTTCCTTGTAGATAGCCAAAATGCTCTTCCTTCCTCATTGTCAGGGATAAATACTAAGCCAGAGAGCTTTCCTCAGGAATGCCTCAAGAGACTTAAGAGTCACCCCAGAAATATACCTCTCTGCTGGTGGACCAGAAAATGATTATCTGTAAAAATACTTAAACCTGAAATCAGAATCATGCATGATAATGGAATATTTTATTTATATGTATATGTAAAAATAGCACGCATGTTTCTGAAAATAAACAGAAGAACATGAACTGGGAAGACTTTTACAGACTGTAATGCTCTGCATCTAATTAAGATGTTTCACTTTCTAACAAGAACATCTATTTGAAGTAAAAATCAAGATCACAGTTCTGTAGTTTTTACAGTTGAGATCAAAAGAGTGCAAATGCCAAAATGTCATATAAGGGAAAGAATAAGTTGGAATTCTATTTCTTGGTCCAACTTTATAACGCACATAGAAGAAGAGGGCCTTTACGCTTTATGTCAGTTTTTTTAAGGCAAAGATAATGAGAGATTAAAATAAAAAAAGTGTGCAGGAAAGATTGCTTGAATGACCAGCATAATTTGTGTTCCAATAGAGACAATTAGTTAGATGAGAATATTAAAAGGAACATTTTGTACATTTATGAAGCATATATTGTTCCAGCTTTCAAAACGTATTAAAACCATTCCCTCATTGCCAAAATGGTGGGGATGGCAGGGAAGAAGGTGGATTGCATGGATTTTTGGCAGGATACTGCTGCTGGTAATTTTTCTATAAATCAGAAAGGATCAGAAACAAAAAAAAGCATGAAATAGTATTTTTTGAAGCAGTGTAGTTTGAAATTCTGCTGTTGTGGATAGCCTCTGTCTTAAATGAGATAATGCCCAAAGGCTGCAAAGACTAAAATCCAAAAATGTCTATGATCAAAAAAATCAACTGGCACATTAAAACTAAGCTTTAATTTTTAAGGAAATGATGATTAAACTTTCCCTTCCTTTGGATTATTTCTCTTGCTTTATTTCAAAATACCAAAATTCCTAAATGAATGTGTATTGATGTGTGCAGTTACAGCCACATCTCTCTCACTATTAAAGGTAAAAAAAACTGCTAAGTTTTTAAACCCTATCATGCAGAGCCATCTGCACAGTGATTTAACAGCTGAAACCCTCAATTTTCAACTGACCTATTCATAATGTAAGCTTTGCCTGCCAACCTCTTGTTGTGTGAGAAAGCTGATTAAATTAAGTTGCATCCAGCTTATTAGTTGTGTCTTTATGTAATTTCTGCCAAAAGATAGCTTCAATTTGGTCATTCATAGTTTTATGATTATTAAAATAATTGACAAAAGTAGTTCGGATATTGGATATGTATTTTATTTATGATATTCATCCAAAATCTTTGTTTTCTTGATATGAAGTGATTGTAGGTGTAAATTAAGCTTTTGTTTTCTGGGGATTAAATCTATAGCATTAGAAGAACATTAGAGTCCACTGAATAGTTTTGCTTAGTTCTGAGAAACCTGAAACTTATAGCACAATTTTTCTTAAGATTTTAGGTCCAAATGCCATGTTTTTGACATTTTTGCAGATGTGCTATTTTCCTAGACTATACTCATAGAAATGATAGATCATTCCACCTTCCATATTGCAGTTTCAAGCTAGCATCAAGGATAACATTATGCAGATAGTGGTGTCACCTTGCCTTGTGTCCACTTATTCTTTGGATCCAATGATTTTATAGACGATACTACCAGAAATCTGTAGTTTCTCTAGAAGGCAGCATCTGTAAAATCATTTCAAAGTCCTGTTAGAGAAATAGAAGGTGAACCAACCCCTCTTCCCAAAGCTGGCCAAAGTGATTGGAAGAGCTGATTTGAAATATAAAGCACAAACTATAAACCAGAGCACAAACTATAAATGTCTTTTCTCTCCCATCCTCATCCCACTTTTACATGTACAGTATGTGTGACTCATACTTTTCCTAATTTAAGATCTTCCTAGTACAAACTGTATACACCCCCACACAAATTATACCCCCCCCCCAGCAAATAGCAGGATTCCTGGCTGACAGTTCTGAGAATTTAAAAATCAAGACCACATGTCCAGACTCATTTGCAGATAAACTGAAAATGGCTATAGAGACCCAGGGACCAGCAGAGAATGGGAAGGTGGAATTTCCCTGTGTCATTTAATGGGCTGATTGGAGCTGAGCTGATAGCTGTTTTCACATGGTTCACCTTGAAGCACCCGAGATTGTTTGCATGGGAATTTTGAATTGGGAGAAGAAGGAAATCGTGACAACTGGAACAATTAAGGGTGGCTCTGGGCTGGGGATAAGATGGAGGCAACATCATGTGAAGATGTCCATCAAACATGATTAGCAAACAGTTTGTTTGCTCTCTAGTAGGAGTATGATAGCCTTAGTTTCATACCTTAGTTTTAAAGCACTTAACCTTTTAAATGTTTACTCCAACTTGAACAAAACATATTACATGTGTTAGGATATATTCAGTTAAAACATCAGTTTATAAGATGAATATCTGTCAGCTGTATCAGCACTCAATGTCTTCTTTTTTTGTCTTTAGGGGAAGCTAAGAATCTTCCTACATATCCAGGGCCAAACAAAATGCGGGATTGTTATTGTACAGTAAACTTGGACCAGGAAGAAGTTTTCAGGACCAAAATAGTGGAGAAATCACTATGGTAATATTTCACTGAATTTAAATTATTTTAGCATTTGTACCTTAATTTATTTTAGGCACAGTATTCTGTTTTGTGAAGTGGGAACTGTTATCAAGCAATTTTAAATATATGTAATAGAGCACAAATATATAATGCAGAAACAATAATGTTCAATAAAATCAACAGTTCCCTAAGAACTTTCTTCCTCCAATTGTTAAAACAAAAGTTACTCTGTTATGTTTTGCTTCTGTATTAATATATTCGATGTATGTACATTGCCTTTGCTCAGGAGCTTAAGATAGTATACAAAACGCCATTCCTTCCTCCAGTATTTCCCTACAATTACATCCTTGTGAGGCAGGCTGGACAGATAGAAGGTGACTGACCCAAAGTCACCGACTGTGACTGAAGATGGCTGTGGGGAAGAGACTCCATAGTGATTGTAGGGATGTGGAGTGAGATTAGGGTCAGTGAAGATACAACAGCCTTTTTCCATACATGAAATTATGGTGCATATTGCCAGGAAAACATGAGTAGGATAGGGCCATTAATGTATGGATAGAAACTGGCCAAGCAAGAATTATGTGCTAAAATTGTCTAACACTTAAGCACCAACAGAAGTGGCTGCATCTTTACAGATTTCCTAAGCCTCAAGAGAGTAGGCATTTGGGAACAATACAGAAAAAGACCCTTTCCTGCTTTTAGGAAACAGGCCTTGGACAGAAAGACAGAATCTTTAAATTAATATATACATTTGGTAACAAGATCTGCCTTCATTGCTGAATATTATATTCAGGAAATAATTATATGAATATGCAGTTTTCCACTGTAGCAGAATTGTCACATGTCTTACTGTAGAAGAACGTGGAAGGTTCAAACAGCAGCACAAGTTTCTACTTTACTTTTCACTTACTGGTTGCAAGTAATTCTGGACCTCATGCCAAACAGCATCTATAAGTCTGCAGTTCCAAACATTTGCTGCCCAATTAGGTTATAAGAATCCTTTTCTGCTTTTTCTTCATCAGCCACATAGACATTGGTCTGCACTTATTTTTAACAAGCAGATTCATAACTGTCATATGCCTGGAATGGGAGGGGGACTCTTTGGTATTGGGAACTAAAGTAGAATAGGCGTCCTTGTCTCAAATGTCTAATATTTAGTGAGACTTTACAAATGCTCATAAAAACAGGGAGAAGACATCCATTATTAGCATTATCAGGCATGCATAATGTTCAATTTGTTCTTTTGTGTTAATAGGGTAGTTTAAAGAAGTATTTCAGTATGTGAAAGAGAACATCCAGTGACAGATACATGAGACATGCAACATAAAATATTAAAACAATTTTTATCATATGAGTTGACACATCATCTTAAACAGCTTACCCTACTTGAGGTTGGATGAATTAGTTTTGCTTATTTTGTAATCCTTTTTTTTCTGACATAGGTGTTTAAAAACATGAATACTTGGATTTTTAAAGAATTCCTGTGAACCAAAGGGAATTGATGGATTCTTTATGTACATATAAAGCATAATGTTGCATACATTATGCTTTACATCTAACATTTTGGCATCAGATTAGATTAAGTTTTTTCTCTTAGAATTTCATTACAACATTCATATGGAATGTGTTCAGAGGCTGGGAATAGTTGTCTCCCATGGAGAAGTCAGATACATACTTTGCAAAGTTAGAAGTAAGGAAGATTATGTACACTACAGGAAAAAAATGCCCTCATGCATGAAAGCTGTTCACTAATAACTATACAACAAAACAAAGTTCTTCCAACATTACAGTGCCTGGGCAGCAATCCCACCTCAAGCTTCTTTCTCTTTAGAGAAGCATTTGAATGTAGCAGCAGCAACAGTTTGAACAAGTTTTGTCTTAATTCTTGAATATACTTCCACATGAATAGACCACTAGTCCAGGGCTTTTCAACCTTTTCACAGATTGTACCACTTTTAGGACATGACAACATTCGAGTAGCACCAGTGTGTAGCAAGGTGTCAAAAACTTGATGACTAAAAAAAAGGGGGGGGATTTTGGGCTTGTACTGGTTAGATTCATTTGTTGTTATAGAAATGGCTAGTTTATAATATGGAAAAGTAAAAAGTTGAGGTTCAGTGTTAATGTTTCCTTTCTACTGCAACAGTGGACCTCAGAAGTCAATGCCTTTTCTTTTCTTTTTCCCTTCTCCCCCTCACTTTTCCCCTTTTCTCTCACCCTTCACTCACAACCCCCCCACCCTTTGCTAGCAAAAGTCTCTCGCTTTCTCTCATTCATTCACATGTTGCTCGCACAAGCTTCTCTCTTATCCCATTCACTCACACATTGCTTGTACAAGCCTCTCGCTCGCTCTTTCAGTCACCCTTTGCTCACAAAGGCCACTCGCTCGCTCTCTCCTTCACTAACAAAAGCCTCTTCTCTCTCTTTCTCCTTATACTTTTTTTCTCTCCTGCCAAAACCTGTTCCTTTTATAGCTTCTCCTCTCTCTGCCCTCCTCCTCCTTTTCTCTTCCGGGTGCACCGGAAACTCCAACCAGAATGCAGCTACACGTGCAGATCCTGGGGCTTCTGCCAAGCGCTGCAGCTCCAGCTGATCTCCAGGCCTGCGCGGCACTGCTTTAGTTCGTTCCCTCCCCAGCTACACTTGGCTAGGGGTCGCGCACCACCTGCCAGGTGCTAAAGTACCACTGGTAGTACACGTACCACCAGTTGAAAAGCCCTGCACTAGTGCATACTATGTTATTGTTGTTCATACAATACCAGTCAGGCAGTCAAACATCAGGGTTTTTTCTTCCATTTTCTGTCTGTTGAGCCTTACACCTAGCCAAAGATAGCTATTGGCTGATAAAACAGATTGGGAAGAGATTGCCTTTATCCAAACTTCTTTTAAGAGAGAAAGTAAATAAAAGGGTGAGACCTTTTAGATTTCTTCTACTAAGTTCCTGAAATGTCTCAGGTATTGCTTTTTGGTCTTACCAATGTTCACCTCTAAATTTCTAATTTAAAAAGTCATATGCTGTGTAACATCTAAAAAGCATTTAAAGCACTGAAATCATTTATATTTAATTTAAAGGAAAAATTTTGATTTTAAAAAATTCCAAAAAAGAATTGACACGAACAAAAGAAACAGAACTATTCCAGAGTTATTGTTATTTTTAAATTAATTGCACAAAGAAGTAGTGTCATGTCTTTTTTATCTTCTACCTTACATTATCTGAGACCAGCCATTGACTATACTTGCTGGGAATCCCGGCAGAATCAAATACATACAAAGAATTTGCAGTGGAGAAGGCTTCCCAAATTGCACTGCATGCAAGTAGATCTAAGAATCTTTCTGAGCTAGAAGACATCTGCAAAGAAGAGTACGGGGGGGGGGGGGGAATCCAAAGTTTAAATAGAAAGCCTTTTAAAAGTTGGCTACAGGAAACACTTATAAGCAGTTATTTCTATCAAAGTAGACCTTAAAAAGTACTGTCTGAAAGAGTGTCCAGTTTTTGCATATGCCATATTTCTTACTTTGAATCTGTAAACAAATTGCACAGAAAAAACATTTACATTTGCAGAAAGATGCATTTAACTTCACAGTATAGAAGCTGTGTCAGTTTCTACTCATAGGAATTCATTGAAACATGCACTTTGACTAAGGGAACCTAAACTTTTACATATGTTTTACTAATTACTTGTACATTGCATGTTATACTTTTCATACGTGTATTTGGTTTCTTTCTGTTTTAACTCTATGATGCAAATTCCTGCCATGGAATATAACATTTGCTGTGGCATTTTTAATTACTTTCTTTTTAAAATTCATTTACAAGCCACATGGAAGACATTCAGTTTGGGATCTCTTATGATTAGTTACTGTAAAGGTTGCAATGTAACTGCATTCATAATTCTTCCCTTTTGAGAAATGTAACAGTATTTTTAATTCTTAAACTGATCAAATGCTACCTGAGAGACTCTGTTGTAAGATAATATAATTGAGGGAGAAACCCTCCAAAGCATTATTAAAATTATCAAATTTCATTCCAAGCTAATAAAGGAATTTCATAGAGTTGGGTATGAAATTGTTTGCTTTTAGGTTTTACATTATAGTGAAATTCAACATTTTGCAGAGCTAAAAGGTTAAATTATGAAAAAAATATAATTATGAATGACGATTATTATATCTACATGTTTATTACTTTCTCTTACCAAATCTTCATTTTTATTGTAAAAGAATACATTAAATAAAAGAAAGCTAAAAAAAAGTATTACAGACTTGGATATGGAATTTATCTAAAAACTGGTTAAGAGTATGTGTGTGAAATAGCTTGCAATTAAGAATGAGCCCAGAAAACTAATGAATCCTATTGGCCATAAAGCTGGATCTTAAAATACACTGATTTTTTTACTGTTTCTCAGCCATAGTTTGTGAATGAGCCTAGTAATTGACAATTTCAAATTAGGAAAGGATTTGTGGAAATTAATTGATAGATACTGTATTTGCATAATAGTTTCAATGTAAACATACATAATCAATTTTTAATCTGATTTTAAATACAGATGTTTGTTAGGTGTATAAGAATTCGTTGAAACTTTTAGTAAATATCAAATCATGAATTTCTTATATTTATCACACATACATTTATGTGCAATTTGTGACATTCAAAGGTTCTTCTATAGGTTCCATTATCATGAAAAAGTAAAGGTGGTGGGTTTATTCAGAGCAGTGTTTCTCAACCTTGACAACTTTAAGATGTGTGGACTTCAACTCCCAGAATTCCCCAGCCAGCTATGCTGGCTGGGGAATTCTGGGAGTTGAAGTCCACACATCTTAAAGTTGTCAAGGTTGAGAAACACTGATTCAGAGTAAAGCTTTTTGTTATGAATTCTCTACATAAAGAAAGCAATTCCCTCTTTGCCCAGCTTTCAGTAGGCTCCAAAGGCTGTTTTTAAAAGCCCTGGTATGGTTCTAAACTTTGGTTTTATTTTTTGCATGATTTCATTCAATTCCTTATCTAAATATTTCTCTTTCTTTGAATCTAGTTTTAAGTATTTTCTATTTGCATCTGTAGGTGTTTGTTTTGATATTTAAAATATGTGGTTTGTACTGCTCTAAAATAATGTTACAATAGTTTGATAGTTCAAGAGGTACTTGTTTTAGTCAGAAAAATGCACTGTGGGTCAGCTTTCTCTTACAAAGAATATATTGTTCTTAAAGATCTTCCCAGTGTCAATTTGGCTGCATTCTTCTAGCATTTCTCTTTAGACAAATATAAATAGGAAGTGCTTCTTCTAGAAGTTGTTCTGAAACCACTGGATAACATGATTTTGTTGCCCATGTGACTGTTAGTATTGGTGGGAATGTCACAACCTTCCCATATGTATTCTTTCAGGAATTCTGTAAAAATACGACTTTTTTTTTTTTTTAAAGGCACTCCCAACAACTGTGTATGGTTTTTTTTTCCCCTTTGGGCTTGCTGTCTTCCAACATAGAATGACTCAAGAACAAATTGATTCAAATGAATTTTTCCTTATTTAGAGCGTCATTGCTAATTAGGAAGATCATACTTACAGATAAACCCATAAAAGGTCTAGGCTCACAACAGTTGCTACAGTATTAACTTGAATTCTGTAGGAGAGAATAGCACTTTAAGTAGCCTGGAAGAGGAGAAATTGTTCAAGAGCTCTTCTGAAATATAAAATAATTTTTTTGCCTTGTGCTGAATAAGATTAATTCGTAGTTGGGGAAAGGCACTCACCAAACAAGTGACATAGTTCCAATTAGTCAGATCAGACAGCAAATACAGTTGAAATGGCTGGTCCAGGATTCTGAATATGTTCAGGCATTATACCTAGTACTGAGAACTGATATTTCAAATCGTACTTCTTCAGCTGTATTCTCCATTGGATTCTATTCTATATTTTCTTGCTCGTTTTAAATATAAACCCTGAAATGATTAGCTAGGGATAAAATACATCATTTGTAGGTGCACTTTAAGTACCCTTAGAATAAATACCGTACTCTGCAATAGAAATATCAACCTTCTGAATGTGGAGCCTCTGGTTGTCCATACTAGTTGAGAGTTAGAGTCCTAAAATGTTTAGCAGACTATGCTTGCTGCATAGTGATTTCAGCTGTGCCCATAGATTGCCAAGTTGGTAGAAAGGGAAGGAATGGAAAAGGAGATAAGACAAAGTACTAAAATACAGAGAAAGTAGGAGAGTGTTATCATGGCAGCAGGAGGCCATGTCCTACCCTCACAAGAGAATTAAAAAAGAGTGTGGAAAAAATAAAGGAATATGCAGCTATTATTTTAATATGTTTGTAATAGCATTCCAACTGCTTGTACATGGAATGCATATAACTTGCCAACTACTTCCTTTTTTATGATAGATTGTTTACTGAACAATGGGATAGTCTTAAACAATTATGTTGAAAAGAATGGGTGGTACTTATAATTATTTTATGGCAATTTATTCTATAACAAAAAGAAGTTTGATGTATCTCTAGGTCAGTATATATATGTAGTCTGAAATGTGAGAATAGCCAAATTATCTTAATTTGTATATAAATCGTTCCTTTTTCTTTTTCTAGAAAAATACAAGGCCTGTTGTCCGGAATAATACTTTAATTATGAATATATAAAATTATACTACAATGTAGTGTTCTTTTAAGTTTTACAACATTGCAAAAATAAGGGTATATGTATACATCCTTGAAAAAGCAGTTTTGGGTTTCCGTTTTCAAGAGTCAAGCTATAAAAAAAAGATCCAACTTTCAAAGCAGTTTGGAAGATGTGATATATTATGTTTTGAAGCCACATAAATTTGGTAGCTTTAAGCAGTGGCAGGCCTTAGGGCAGTTGTGGTATGAATGAGACATGAGTAGGCAAATTGAAGGTGCCAGGTAAAAGCTTTAATGGGAAAATTGACAGCAGATATTTCCAGTTTCTAACAATTATACTAAAGTGTTTTATTTTTGTTTTACATAGCCCTTTCTATGGAGAAGACTTTTACTGTGAAATTCCACGGAGTTTTCGACATCTGTCATTTTACATTTTCGATAGAGATGTCTTCCGCAGGGATTCAATCATTGGTATGTGTTTCTATGTATGTTCAGTTTTCAATCTTAATTATTTCTTTTAACTAGGGAAGCTCTGTATGTCTACACAGCTGTCATCAACAGTACTGAATAAAAACTCTTGTATTGTTTCTTTTTAAATGTAGCATAAACATTTCAACAGTATTGTTCATCATGGTTGAGTTAGGGTTATATTCTTAAATAACTATATAAAGTAACAATAAAAAAGATAAAATTCCTTCGAAATAAAAATCTGTACAAGTTCTATTTCTGAGTGATGAAAGCTTTTCAAAAAGTACCTCTGTTTTGAAAAAAAAAATAAAACAGTTAATCTGAACATGCTATGAACTAATAGATAAAGAGATCCATCAATATCGATTAATGCTGAATGGATGTATTCATTTAAACTTTGATTTAATTTTAGTTTGAATGTTTCACTTCAATTGCATTTTAAATAAAAGTGCATTCTATTCTGGTGATGTTTTGAACATATGAAGAAAGTAAGTTTTGAACATTTTGGGAATTCCTTCCTTCCTTCCTTCCTTCCTTCCTTCCTTCCTTCCTTCCCTCCCTCCCTCCCTCCCTCCCTCCTTCCTTCCTTCCTTCCTTCTTTCCTCCTTCCTTCCTTCCTTCCTCCGGACAAGCAGAAAACAAGGAGTGAGTCAGGAGGACGTTTTGGAAGCAAAAAACAAAGGGATTAAGGATTAGGATGTTTTTTTCCCTTCTTCAGCAGAGGTGCTGCTAGGAATTCTCAAGGCATTGTAGCAGTCAGGAAAACATTGAGCAAAGTTCAGGCAAAGGAAGAAAAGGGGATAGGGAAATGAGGAAAAGAGAGTGTTCATTTAAAATATTCCTGTAAAATTGTATGGTCTGGAATGCAGGTCTTTCTCTAATTTCTTAAATCTTCTTACAATTCAGAACATGTTTTGTTATGTTTTTATTGGCTTCTGCAAATCTGCCAAGATAACACATAATGTAGGTATAAAGAATTAGGATTTTATTAAGGTGAGAAAGCATAATATACAGTTTAGCCTCAGGTTTTTTTTGGGGGGGTGGGATTGTACATTGGTCTTGGCCTAACTGAACTACTGAAGCATAGTCAAGTATCTGCTGCATATTTCTCATATTTCCATAGATGTCATCAAAGTATGTGTTGCAAAAGCTGCAAACATGAAAATGTTGCACTGTATATACCTGTGTATAAGTTAGGAGACTAGTATGTAGTGACAATGTTGATGCAATTAGATCATCACACTTTACTGTGGATGCCATGCTATAATTTCACTCCTGGATCTACTGGAAAAAATCCAGAGTCCTGTTGGTTAACACTTGGCTATCTTGTATACTTCTCTGGTTAAATATAAATGTTTTAATATCAAAGTGTTTTTTAATCTTAAAAAATTCAGTTGTATGGGATAATCTAACAAATGGCAACACTAGGATATACATATTTGCATATAGAGATTCGGAAAGAAATCCAAGAAAAGCTTGAGTGGGGGGAAGCTTAGTGGGGAATGTATTTATTTGTCAAATTTATAAGATTGCCAGATCCCATAAAGATTCTGGGCAGTGTGCATTACAAACAAAATAATATAACAAAAAAAGAACAGTATGTGTCCCAAAGAAAAAAAACAAAGAGAGGAAACAAAACCTGCTTCCTGGGTCTTAATTTTTATCCAACATGTTCAATTTTATATATTTGTATTGCAAGGTTGTATTACCAGACTTTGTTTACAAAACTTTCCAAAGGGTTTTTTTCTTTATCTGTGAAATGTAAGGCTGTCTTCTCTGTCCATATATTTGTTAAGGGTTGAAATTGTTGTAGGATCTAGGGCTGTTTTGGGCTGCTTGATTAGATTGTCACTAAGCTGCCCATTTCCTCTCCCACTATCTCTATTTTTGTTTTGATGTAACAGGCTTGCATAATGCAAAATCGGTCACCATGGCAATCCCAGTTAGTGCTCATTACTATTTCTTGGATGCTAGTGTGACATACAGAAAGAGAAACATTTTGTCAATATACCTATATGTTTTCCTTCCATATAAGGCACTTTCATCCAGGATGAATGGATGGATTGAAACTTGTCTGCTAGCCTGAGACCAGAATTCACATAGACTTAACAAAGCCAGGATTTATGATAATAAGCAGATCCCAAAATTTTAGGGTATTGCTTATGTCCATTGATATAACCGAATACCTCTTGACCTTTCTCTGTGTTTCAACAAATTCATCTCACAGTGACTGAGTGAGGTAATTGGCAGAGTTTGCCAACAAATGATTCAATAAACAGCAGGCATGAAACAGAGGGCAATTTGGGAATACACATGCCACAGACACAACTTCAGTGTTTGAACCCCTGGAACGACAGTCTTGATAAGGCATATTATTATATCTCTGTGTTATAACTATTAAAGGCAGGTTATCCATTTATGCCAAAGTAAACGCCCTTTTGTGTGCAGAGCATGGAAAATATAATAGTATCCAAGTGCAACAAAGGAGGAACCTGTGAATTCACAATAGCAAAGAAAAAAATCTGCTATCTTATCTTTTTGTACAAAATTGTCCATCTGTACGTTGGGGTATCTTTAGTTGGATCCAAAGAATATATAAGTAGGGGAGATAGCTCACAGTAAGCCAAATCAAAATTTATTAGTTGTTTTCAATGGAGAGACATAACTATCAGAGAAAGTAAGTTGGACCAAGAACTGCCGCTTCCCAAATCCCCATCAGTCAATTGCAAAAGGGAGCTTCATTTGGAACAGTTTATGTCCTTCGACAATACCTTTAATATCATCAGACAACAATATCTGCCCATCCCCAAGTCCTTGGGAAAGACTTGATAGATGGAGAAAAATGCCAAATCTAGTCAAAACATCTGGCTAACTCTGCAACTATTAATTAATTAAATTAAATTAAATTAAATTAAACAATTAATTAAATTTCATTCTAAATTTTATACGTAAGTTTTAAATCAGCCTTCCCTGATCAGCTATATTCAACATATAATATAACTGGATATAATCCAGCTCACTGGATTGGGAAAGATTATTATAAATAATGAAGGTGGGTACCGTAATCAATTTTCTTCTGCTAATGGGAATAATCAACACAATATCTACCTTTGGAATTTTCTTGCCGAGGAAATGAGAGGCATTTATTTACATCTGCTTAGAAGGATGAGGAATCCCATGAAACATTGGGAAGGGTTTAGAGAAGGGCTGAAATCTTGAAAATGGCTTCTTTCCTTACCTAATGGTCCACTGGAATTCAGCCCTGTATATGAATGGAAAGTGATTCTCCATGCATAGACGTCTAATTAGGATCCACACAATTACCAGTATAAAGCTAATCTTCGGCTTACAATTGAGCCCAAGTTGCTAAGTAAGACAGTTGTTAAATGAGTTTTATCCCACTTTACAACCTTTCTTGCCACAATTATTAAGTGGGTCATTGTAGTTGTTAGGTTAGTAACACGGTTGTTAATTAAATCTGGCTTCCCTATTGATTTTGCTTGTCAGAAGGTCGCAAAGGTGACCCCTATCTTAAATACATACCAGTTGTCAAGAATCTGATCACGTGACCACAGGGATCTGCAACGGCTGTGTGAAAAACGGTCATAAGTCATTTTTTCCAGTGCCATTGTAATTTGAAATGATTACTAAATGAATGGCTGTAAAGGTTAGGACTACCTGTAATACATCTCTGAAATAATATAATGTATTTAATATGAATTGACTTCAGTGTTTCTTTGTTTAGGACTTTGCTAAGCCTGTTACATAAAATAATATGACATGTACTGTTATTTATTTTCAGGACACTGAAAGTATTAAAATGGTTCCTTTTTAATATGATAAAAGCATTCAAAATAAAATTTAATGAACTGTTTAGACATTGCCTGTCTGAACTGGTTGGTGCTTGAAAACTTAACGGGGTTCAACCTGGCTGATATTTGGATGGGAAGTTTTCAGAGAATACCAAGATTGTAGGCTAGATTGAGAAGATGAAAAACATCTTGGAAGTTGCACGGTGACCAATAAACTGTGTGACCCTGTCCATGAATGTATCAGGAGTTGAAGCCAATTTCTAGGAGGCTGGGTAACTTAACTATGAGACATTTAAAAGAGGCTTTGAAAATGCTTTAGGCCAAATGCTGGGAACTTAGAGAAATAGATTAACAACAGAATTCTTAGCAGCCGTGCAACGAACAGTTCAGCCTCTATGACCTTCAGTTAAAAACAGGAAACACGCTACATCATCTGATCGTTTAGCACTTATCTGAAAGAATAAAAGAGTCTTATACCGGGTGCCCTTCATGTGACAGATGCACAATTATTTCTGGCCCAATTTACAAACTAGGAGGACAGATGAAAAGCCAAAGCTTTCATTTATGTAGCAAATATAAATCCAGAATTCAATCATGAGAATTTCTTAAGCATAGTGTTTAGATAGAGTGGTGCTATGTCCTTCAGTCAACAAGATATTACTATGGCAGAATATTGCCCAATGGGAAAATATGCTATTGACTAGGATTTACAATTTACTTTTTGTCATAGTATTAATAATCACATTGTGTGAAAGCTGTGCAAGGCAGTCTCTCAGATCTTCCAGTTTGCCTTTCTTATTGCAATTTCCCTTCTCATGCTGTTTCCAGAAAGTTTTATTAAGTGACAAAAGAAGCTTTCGGACTGAGAGAAAATCCAGAGCATTGTAAGCAACTGGAATAATGTGCCCCTGACAGACTTGTCAAACAAACCCTTTTCCAAGTACTTGATAAGTTTTCTTAGATGATTTGGGTCTTCTGATTACATGAACAATCTATAGAAAACTTACAAAAAGTGAAGTTCATTTTTATATAATTAAATAACACTAGGTCAAGTGTTTTAAATAATTTTCAACATGCATAAAACTTTCATTTTGTATAGAAAGTTTTTCAGGTGCAGTTAAATTTTGATGCAATTATTCTAGATAAAAGCCGTGGTCTCTAATCCCAGCTGAAGAACCGTTGTTAGTGATTAAATATTTGGATGGTTAGCTTTTCCAAAAGCTAACTACTGGTGTTAATAAGTTTTTCTCCAACACAAAGAACTTGATGTATAGCATTATTAGTAAACTTCATTGATTTCATAATTTCTCTTTAAACATTGCTTGAACAGTTAGTATTTAAACATGTTGTTTTCTACTCTAAAGAAATCTTTTTTTAAAACAAAATCATTTTACAGATTGTTTTACCTAAAATATATTTTGTAACTTCCCTAATTTGGAACCTTAAGGGTATGTTGGGATTTTAATTCTTGGATCTTCCAGCCAATGTAGACTTTTGCTTGGAATTATGGGAATTGCAGTTGTAATGCTGTATATCCCAAGGCAGGGAAGGCTGTTATATAACAATATTTATATTCATCATGATGCATTCAATTTGATGTATTTTCAGGAAAAGTAGCAATATTGAAGGAAGATTTGCAGAAATATCATAATCGAGACACTTGGTTTCAACTGCAACATGTTGATGCTGATTCAGAAGTACAGGTGAGATTGTCTCTTCCATGGTATTTAAGATTATGGTGGCTGTAACAATTACAAGAAAAATGTTCTTGGATCCCATTATTTTTGTTGCTGAAAATATTATAGATCAATGTAACTGCATAGAGGTTGTTTCAGTCAGTGCCTGGATAATTATATCTGTATATGTATCCCAAGAAGTTAACTTTATAAAAAGCTGCTGTGCTGTAATAAATATACTATGTTAACTTGGCATTTGTATCAGCGGAAACCACTATATTTCCTTCCAAGTGGAAAGAGGAAATATTATGAAGTCTCAGATAATTTGTTTGACTTTTGTTAAATAGTAGCTATTGCTTATAAGTGATATTCTGTGTGACATAGAATAACATTTGGAATTTACTTGATAAGGTTATCAATTGATCAACTAGTGATCACTGAGACACATTCATGTAGATTCGTGGTGGCGAACCTATGGCACGCATGCCATAGGTGGCACGCAGAGCCTGCTCTGTGGGCATGGCGCCGTCGCTCCAGGCCTTCAGTCCCATCCATGAGCAACCTGCATCAATACTTGCGCAGGGTAAGGTTGCCGTGCCCACCCCCTACAGAACCACCAAAGCTGTAGCTCAGGGATTCTCAAATTACGGCCCGACCTGTCTTTTTATCCGGCCTTCCTCAGCCTCCCGGGCAAGCCGTCCAATCGCGAGGAGAGTGTGGGTGGATGGTGGCGAGTTGGTGGGAGAAGATGTTTTTTCCCAATTTCTCCCTCACGCACCCAAAGATGCGCTCACGCTTTGGCCACNGCCGCCATGCCAGCCAAAAGGAAACTGGTGCTGCCGGCCGTCAACATCGCTCCCACCATAGCTGAGGGACCCAGCCCTACCGGTGGTTGGAGTGGGGCTGCTGGAATGGGGCGCTGGTTATGGGTCTGAGGGGAACGGGCAACCGGCGAGGTATTTGTGAGGGGTGGCTGGGGTGAGCGAGAAAAAAGGAGAATTTGCTCCTGGAAGGTTATTTTGGGGTTGTGAGGGGTTGTGTGGAGCTGAGGCGATGAAAGGTCAGGGGAGCCGCCAGGAGGGAGGATGCGGTCGGCCTTTGGAGGAGCATCCCGATCCACAAACAGGGGTGGTGGTGTCGCATCCAGGTGAAGCCCCAAGAGGTAGGCAAAGCTGGAGGTGGTGGAGCAGCTGGGAGGAACTGGGAGTGCCGGTGCTGGTGGTTGAGAGAAACTTCGTTGGCCTTTAGGGTCCAGGAAATGGTGGAGGAAGGATGGGGGCATTGGGATGTGCCCCATGGGAAAGAGGAATGAGGTCCTGCCAGGCAGGTTCTTCTGCCCTGAGATTGTCCGGAATGCCAATCAAGGAGAATATTTCTGGCTCAGAGTTAATATGAAGGGTCCTTGGGGGGGGGGTTGTCTCTCAGGATGGTGGTTTTCTTGCAGAAGTTTCAGGACCCAAAGTGGGATAACAAATGAACTAATGATGTTACCTAGTTTGGGTCATGAGACATCTACATGAAAGCCACGAAGCTCAGAGAGAACCAATGAACCCACAACCGCCCTCCTCCTCCTTTTCTTCTCTACTCCACAAACCCCATTCTCTTCTGGCACTGCTGATATTACTTACTTTGGGTCATGAGACGTCTGCGTGAAATGCTGAATGGAAATGGCACCCCTGCCCCCCTGCCTCACCTCGCCTCACCCCGCAGGACGAGCCTCCTGCCTACCATCCCACCTGCCAGAGACCCCCTGGATCTCCTCCAACCATGCCCAGCCCCCACAGGCGTCCTTCCCCACAAGCAACCACCCAGTGGCCACGCCCATCCGGCACCCGACGATAAATAAGTGGGGTTTGTGTTGCAGTTTGGGCACTCGATCTCTAAAAGGTTCGTCATCACTGATGTAGATGCTGGACAAATCATATTCAGAAGGAGAATAGACACTCCAAAGTCATCCTTGTTTCACCTGAACATGGGGGAAGAGTCTTTAAATTAAATTAAATTATTTGGATATGTTTGGAAACATTGTGCCTGTATCCAAGTAGACAATAGTCTTGACATAATGGGAAATTAAGGTATGATCTACAATGTCAAAACAGATAAAACTGAATAAATTCACACTTAGATCCTTGTTTATTTAACAGTTATTTAAACAAACCATAATTACATGATTTTAGCTATGTCGAGGCACAGTGGATTTTTAAACATATTTCCAAAGAACAGTAATACAGGAAGACCATATTATATGTTTTAGTGCATCCCCCTCCTCATTTTACCTTTCAAGTATACTGAGGCTGACAGCTAATCCTTTTAGAATATTTTTGAGGTATGCATTAAACATGAAAATATCTATTTTACAGAATTAATCTCATCTTAAACTCAACAGTTTGAGTATTCTCTAAAATCCTTAACCATTGGCTTGTTAATGTGGAACACACAAACTTTCTGTACCAAAGACCATGCAAACAACTAAGTTTTTAAAAGTTTTTCTCTTTTTTCCTTTAAATTCCAGTTTTTCTATGTAGTTTTTTTTCACTTACCTTCACTTTAATAGTTTCATTGCATTTAAAAGGGCTTTGCTATACTTCCAGAAGCAGGAAATACTTATTAAATTGGGAAATTTAAAATACAATTATTTTTTTAAAAACTCATATTATTTGATATGAGAAAGTTCTAGAATTTAATATCTGTTAGGGATGTAGCAGCCTTGTAGTGAAACAAAAATATGAGTGATCAAAACAATAGCTTATCCTAAGTGTTTTGAATACTTTTAAGTATATATATACTTTCTTTCTAGAGCAGACAACAGAATTTCATTTTTAATGTGGGCCAGTGTGCTCATAGTAAAAGATGACAAGAAAGGTTATCTTATCTATAAGACAGTTTATAAATCTTCTACAGCAAGAGTACATTTTGTTACCATTCCTTATCACACTTGTTCCTAACCATTTCTTAGAATTTCCAGTGGCATCTGCAGCAAAGTACAATGGTACCAAAATGATCACAAGCATATAATAATATACTGTAGCTGCATAAATACTGCAATTATATACGTGCATTGCAGTATTCAAACACACTTGACCTACATTATCATTGCTGTAGTTTACAAAATCTCCTACCTTTTAACATTTGTAAGAGTCTACTAGACTCCTTATTTTTAACAAAACCAAGCTGTTTATCAAACTACATCTTTCAGGAAACAATAGACATTACTAAATCAATTAAAACATGACAAATGTTCCTGATGGTTGTTTGATTAAGTGGGATTATACTGGGTTTTTTTATTCTGTTAGAGATTTATAATAATGCTTTTTGAATAAAGTTTTTCCAACTTCCTTTAATGAATTGGGATTCCTTGAACTTTATTGTTCAAAAGTATACAAACTAGTGATGGTATTAGCTTTGATTGTATGGCTTCTGGTAACAAAACTTGCCGAAACTAAATTGAAACTAAATTGGTCTTGGAGAACAAACCACTGCCAAAAGCGTCAGATGTATTTATTTATCTATAAGACCACTCCCTTACAGTTTGTGACTTATTCATTTACTAATTACTTATTAGTTTACTAACAGATATTTTAGGTACAAATTTTGGGAGGGGTAAATTAAATCAGCAATGATAGTTTTGAGCAGACATGAGCACTTTACGGCCCCTGAGCAACATCTGCATATTTGGTTATTCGTTTCCAGCCTGCATGAGGTCAGTTGGAAATTAGAAGTCAAATGTAGATAAATGTGCTGCAGGGGGCGAGAGAAGCTGAGTCGGTGTAGCTCTGTGCGATCGCCATGCGGTCCTTGGCTGGGGCTTGCTGGAGGACGAGAAGAGAAAGCGCATTTTGTGCCTGCTCTCTTCACTTGCGTGGAGCAGCCTGAGGAGTTGATGTAACAGAGTTTGAGGACATCAATTCAGGCTACATTGGTTTGGCCCTCCACAACAGTCCCAGTTTCTCAGGTAGCCCCTTGAGAAAATTAATTGCCCCTCCTGGTTTTAAGGGATGCTTTTGATATGATGCAGTTCAAATTTTGGGAGCAAGTGTTGGCCAAATGTGTATTTCTTTTGTTACTAATTGGATTTAAATATGCAGTTCTGATTCATTTGCCAAGCTTACTACAAATAATTCTTCATCTATCAAAATGCTTCAAGGATGTCTTTTAGTTTAATATGGCGTCAATTGGCCTGTCTTAACAGGCAATCAAAGAACATGTGGACCATAAAAATAGTTTATGTGGGCGAACAGTTATTATATGCTAGTGATATGGTATGTTTAATTGGTAATTATGTTCTATACCAAAATGTTCTAATTTAGTGTAACAGTTTGGTGAATTACTCCAGGCATGTCAAACTGCCGGCCTGTGGGCTGGATGCGTCATGCTGAAACTGCGCCCACCCCATTGCCGGCAATGGGGAAAAAGTCCCGATACGTCTCGCGACGTCACATGACGTCGCGAGTTTGACATTCCTGAATTACTCAGTCACATATGTCTTCCATAATCTAATATATTTATTGAAATGTGTTAAAAATTGGACCTTCATTTAATATATGAAATATCATGGAATATCATGTCCAGCCTTTGGATCAGTTGTAGCCCTGGACAGCTAGTAATGCAGCCCTACAAAATCTAAAATTTTAACACTATTATTTGATGGATATATAGGTAGTCCTTGATGTACTACTACAATGGAGCCCAAAATTTCTTTTGCTAAGTGAGACATTTGTTAAGTGAGTTTTGCCCCATTTTATGACCTTTCTTGCCACAGTTGTTAGGTGAATCACTGCAGTTGTCAAGTTAGTAATATGGTTGTTAAGTGAATGGCTTTCCTCATTGACTTTGCTTGTCAGAAGATCGCAAAAGAGGATTACATGACACTGCAACTATCATAAATATGAGTCAGTTGCCAAGCATATGAATTTTGATTACATGACCGTGGAGATGCCGCAGTGGTTGTAAGTGGGAAAAATAGTCGTAAGTCACTTTTTTCAGTGCTGTTGTAACTTCGAACAGACACTAAATGAAATGTTGCACGT